CTTTCAGGTGCAAGTAAACTGGTAAATGCAGTTGCAGTTGACATGAGTCGGATATTAATCTACTTTGGATTGAGTCAGTTAGTACATCCTGTTGTAAAGTGGAATCAATGTGTAGGCTGGAAATATTCTCTTCAGTGCTGTTCTACCTTGTATTTTATCTCTAATAAATGCTTGATTCCAAGCAAAATCTGGACTCTAAACCCGACCCCCACCACCCTCTTGTCTAGTCACATTATAGATAGTTCGTCTTTTTTAACACTGAATAATTTTTCTACTTACATCATTTATTCTGGAATTATATTGCTCACACTTTCTGTTTACAACTCGTTGTCACTGTGAGAAAAGTATGTTGAGAAATTTTGTAACTTATATTTTGGTATTGTTTAGGGAGTGTGCAGTGGAAAAGAATCCACAAAATAAAACTAGCTCGTATTAACCTGAAGATATGTTAGTTCTTTCTTTTTTCAATGTATATATACATATATATGCGTCAGTGAAGGCTTTCAGTTCTTTATTTAAGCCTGATTTAGCGATTTGGGAAAACGCGAAATCTCTGGGGAAATGACCATGGCTTCCTAAGTAATCTGAAGTTTAAGCGTAAATCCTTAGGATGTGTGGGTGATACACTCTGCGTAATGCTTCACAGATTCAGTGAGACACAGACCACGCGTACTACCGAACCGAACTGTTGGAAGATAGACGAATGTCTAACCAAGTCGTCTTTGATTCTTGATTTCTGTAATTATTAATGTGAGCCGTGTAGGAGAGTATATGTTTCCTGGTTGGATTCCATAGAACAACTTTAAATGATGTAGCTCAGAAATGACAATTATGATATAAAAGTTTTCACATATTGTCTTTTCATCTGCGATTAACTGTTTGGATATTTCGATTTTCCACTGCATCTTCTATTATTTCATGTAACCGTTGTTTATTTAATTTATAAAAATGCTTTCCTGTATTTAATTGTGGTAAGTGTGATGTACAGGTGATGGCTTTGATGACTTTGTATCATTACACAGTAACATTAGCCCTTAAACTGATGATGTCTGCCACTATAACTGCTATCAAGTTTCCAGAGTTGTTTCGATGACGAACAGCGACAAGCATGAAACACAAGTTTCAGGTTTCTGTAAACTTCACACAACCATGTGAAGTGTGTAAAAAAGTGAGTTTTAAACTTGGTGACTAAATCATGGACTTTATAAGCAGTACATATATACATACAATTTGTCAAGACAACACTGATAACTTGCGACTAACTAACTGGTCGATACACTTCAATATACGTTTGGAAGTCATCATGACATAAATATACGTTTATCATACATTATAACATAAGATTTGTTAACATTCATATGTAAATTTCTATTTATCTCCTTCTTTATTCTTATAGCTTTTGTATTTTTTTCGTTAAATCACAAAGTTTCTTAATATATCTATTCATTATTATGAATATAATGTGTTCGTTGTAGTGTACAATTACAAAATTTTACTTTCATACATTGTTTGTATACTTCCTTATTTATTTATGTTTACCGCCTATGTGAATCCAAAGAATCAATATTTCTCAGCAGTTATGTGCAAATGCTCTAGTTATAACTTATTTGTTTTTGAAATCATTTCTTTTCTCATTGCAGAATAAATTCATAGAAATAATTTGAAATTGAGTTACAATTATTGAACATCGAGTTAGCGGACAATACAGAATAAAATAAATATTCAAGTATCAAACAAAAATACTTTGAAAACAAAATCACTTATTTTTCTAGAACACTTAAGCTTGATAGTCATCTCGTGTCATTCACTAAAATTTCTCCAGAAAACATTATCGTTTATACAAACCAACAATAGTATGACAAACAAAATAACTTCATATTCAAGTGGTAGTTTGTAAGGATTTGATTGGTTTCAGGATTTCATCATGAGCTGACATCGGTTAAAGGACCATTGGAAAACCTGCGAGTACTGGACAGGTGTTGTGAACCTCAGTGGGAGCGTACTGATGACGAGTCTCATACTAGGACGAAATAGCTGTCCAGTACTTTCAGGTTTTCCAATGGTCCTCTAACCGATGTCAGCTCATGATGAAATCCTGAAAATGACTTCAGTTTATGCTTTATTGCTTTAGAAGTGGGTTAGAAGGTTGCATTTAAGTTAAACAGCTTTTTGGTTACTGCAACTCCTTTCAAAAGGGTTCACTAACATGCATGAAAGTAATATGTGTTTTTGGGTTTTAACTGACCACTTAATTTTAGTCTTCTATCCTGAATATGACTACTTCAGTGTGTTTTTATCAGTTCACTGGCTGCTGTGGAACTGGGTACATACGTCGTTCTATGGGCGTCCTTTCAAAACTTGTTAAAGAACACTATTTTGAATGACTACAAAAAGACGGTACTGGTTCAATCAGAAGCGCCATAATTCAACAATTCGTCAGCACCTGTCACAGAATCTCAAGTGGCTTTATCATTCAGAGTCATATAAGATGTAAACAAAAATCTACCGAAGGCAGTGTATTTCTTACTTTTTGTACTGCAGAAGATTTCGTCGTATGCACTGGAGCTGTGTTCAAAAGAAACTAGTTCCACCTCTACATTTACTAGTTCTCCTTGGTCCCTTAGTTGTCGTTTTTTTCATTTTCAGTTACAAAATCTATTATTTCAATTTGCTTTTATGCACATGCCGTTCACATTTGTCTTCACTGAAACTATTCTACATACTTTACAACTATTTCCTAATCCTATGTAATTTTGTGATCTACATTCACTCCTTCAAACCTTCATTTCAGGTTAGAAATTATTATCTCTTTCAATCTCCCCATACTGCTTTGTTAAACTAAATAAAAATTTCAACTATGTGAACTTATATATAAAAATACAACTGTACAGCATTTAAGGATATCTGCGCTGTGCTTCGTGTTCTTCTATTTTCATCTAATTTGCAACCACTATGAATGGAGGTTTATTCATTGTCCTTAAGCACTTTGAAATTTTATACAAAACAGAACCACAGAAGATTCATTACCTGATCTTGGGACTGTATGAAGATCGTGGAGGATACATCTAAAACCATTTAGGGCATTGTAGTTAGGCTCTGACATTGACTTCATAACACAGACTTTGATTACCCAAATTATTTCACTCACTGATTACCTTTTACCTACCTGATATATACCTTGGTATAAGTTTTTATATTCAAGGATCTCTCCTTGAAATGTTACTATTATAGACATCTAACACTTAGAAATGTGTGCCTAATAAAGATGAACAACTTGCATATTTCGATGACAAAAGTACAACAAGAGGTGAGATAAGCTAGAATTAATGCAAACAAATCTAAGGTAAACAACATTTTTACCAAAGTTGAAAAGTCTAGTTATATACGAAACTAAAATTCTTGAAAAAGAATGAAGCGGAGTATCAAACTGATAATTTATTAGGCAGTAGCAATCACTCGATCATCCACGTTTGTGGCATGTGCTACTAACGAAATTTATAAGTAGTATACAGATGCAGATATAAATATGTAGTATATCAGCGTCAGCGAAATCGAGTGGAGAAGAGGTAGATTTAATGAACGATACTTGAGAAACAACATGGAAGATATGACAGGCAGACAAAGAAGAACTATATGGAAGACAAAGCACCACTATACCGAAGGTATGTGTAAATTGTGATTCTACTGTATGGTAAACGTATTTTGCCTACACCTGTGTATAGAGTTGCAAATAAATAATTCCGTTACCAATTCTTTTGTCTTCTACCGTCACATGTAACTACAACAGTTACTTGTAGTGACCAAGGTAATACTAAATTTGCATTTGTTCTAACTGATACTTGAAAGCTTGAAAATATACGACTGATCACTCGAATACTATTCACACACTGAGAAGGTAAAGAAGAATATACAGCTGACTCTAAATATTTATTCCACGTAATTAACAAGTCACTAGTTAAAAATACTATGTGCCACTAAAAATCCAATGACGCGAACTTTAATCTAGGTTAAGCCCAACTATCTGGTTCACAGATCACTTGGAGAACACTGACTCATAATACCTCTCTTTCCATGCTGACGTTACTGAATCCAGTGAATTATCCAGAATAAGTTAAGCCACCTATTTTCACATAAAAATTGGATTTCGAAAAAGATTTAAAGGGTGAAAACACTTTAATAAGGTGTCCACATCTGCATAAATTTTAGTAAATTGTAATTAGCAGAGTAGGTGTAAATGTTTTTAATGAACAGGTATGAATAATTTATTGTAACAATGATTTACTCAATAGACGATTATTGATTATTGTCTAGTTTGAAGAATATAATTATGTCTACACCTAACAATTAACATGTGGTTGATTTGTTGAGTTTATGAGTAGCCTTCAATTTCAGGAATGTAAATGAATACTTTTCATTTCTATCCTGTAAATGTTTGCTGTGATGCACAAAAGTAAACAAATAAACTCATTTGATTTGAAATCCAAACATTCCCGACTGCTACAATGCACGATTCATCCAACAAAGGCAGATTAGTTTGAGAAGTTTCTGAGTTCGATTTCACTTAGTGTTTGAATTTCTTACGTTTCCATTGGCGTTTCAGTCACTCGTGATGGTGAATTAAGGAACGGAAGGCTTTTATGCTACACTTAAATCACCTAAAACCACTTTGCTGCTTCAAACTGCGAGACATAATTTTACTGTAATTAGTTTCATGTTCAACAAAAATTTCTCATTGAAAATGCACTGGCTAGTTTATTCACCAGTAGTTAAACTGTCCATCTCAGAGAACTTAACAACGCCAGTTTGCCAACTTCAACGAATTATGAAGAATATTCTCTCAATCTGTATGTACAGAAGAATAATCGTTTTAAAAACCTAAGCTGATAAGCCGAAATTAAAAACATTCAAATGCTTACTTCAAAAATAAAAAAATTTTTCACCTATACTTGTAATTTATGAAAACCAATAAAATTTATTATGACATAACAAGCAACACTAACCTCATGAATTGCATACGCAGCACTGTAAACTTCTTCTTGTAAAAGTCTATCAATTCCAACTTGTGCTCTTTCACGACTACCATAAGCTTGAGTAGCTAAAATATCGTAAGCTACTTGATGCCTTTGTGTAGCGCTGAAATACGATTCTGGATTATCGTGTCCAAGGAATCTAAGGTAAAAGTTATTATACACATGAATGAGATTATTCATTAATTCATAGTTTATCGTATAACAAATAAAAAAGAATAAATTTAACAATTACATAAAGCTTGTCAGACAGGCTATAGATAGAATTCAGGACGCTAATTCTATTCTGAGCATTTCTATCCGCCATAGAAGTCTATTACACATAGGCTGTTAACAAAAAATTTGTTCATGCTGATAAAATTAATCCAGCGTGTCAAAGTCTGCCTACGCACGTATGCAGTTTTTCTGTTTACAGGTGAACTGTAATAATTCCTAAAGTGTTAGTTGTGGTTACAAATAATCTTCAAATATTCTTGAATCGCGGCTTTCAGCTTGTTGGCATACGTGCAATTTCGAAGGAACTTATGTCTCCTGAGAAGTGTTAACTCGCATTACTCAGCATTAATTGTTAGACAATATGATAATAACTACACCCTAGTGACCAATGAATTTGTTATCAAATGTACTTTTCATTGTAAAGTAATAAAATATAAAGAGTGAATTTTAACTGTCTCTTGGTCAGTGTTGACTTGTTGTTAGCACGTGGAAAGGCGAATTGAGGCCAAGTTAAACTTTAAGCACCAGTGTCTACCATTGGAGTGCAACCGCACCAGTGACCTCAAAACGCTCACTGAGCGAGTTAGTGAAACTTGGCGAATAATGTTGTCATCATCAATAAAATATGCTCATCGAAGCCAAGGACAAGTTAGGGTTAGGTTAACCTGATGAAGGCGACATTAGGGTTGGATCGAGTTAGATTACAGTTAGTTTAGGGATATTTTCACGCTACAAATAGGTTCAGGAAAGATTAGGGTTATTGTTAGGTTTAGAAGACCTAAATAATTACATGCATAGAATGTGTTTAAATTACTCTATTGTGATAGAGTATAATTCCATTGTGGGTAACATTTATTTTGATAAAGTTTCACAGTGTTATACAGTCATATTTACTGATAACATTTTGAGGACAATTTACGGCTCAGGAAATATTTCTGGAATTATACTTTGCTGATACTCTACAACTGAGGGTCAATGATTAGCGTGAGTTGAAGGTCATTGAAGCGTTCGCACTCCAAGGACGCTGTTGTTGAAATTCGCCCAATTTTTATCACATGTGAGAGCAACGTATCCTCTGTAGCACTTTTCTACAGTTTTATGCACTATTTCATAAATATATGTATTCAATACACGAAAATGCCTCCTTCATAAGATTGGTACGTTCGAGGTCATTCACTGATTGGTAGTTACTGGTACTTAAAGTTTAACTTTGCCCGAAATGATATATAAAAGTTTATTAACTGTCCCTACTAACAGTTATTTCAAAATTCTGATATCTCGAGAATGTATGAAAATCCACTGAAATAATGAAGATGTATCGAATTGCCGACAGAATGTATTTTCTCCATTCACCGGTAGGGGATATTCATTGAGACGAACAAAATGTAAACTCTCATAACAGAAAGCCTCAGTAAAAACTCGCAGGAATTAATTTTCAAGAATTAGTCTGTAGGGATTCTATTTGTTTCAGGTTAAACAACTGATTGATATCAAATAGAGAACCGCTGAAAACCAGGGAGAACTGGATAGTTGTTTCATCCTACTTGGGGACTCATCTTCAGTGCGCACCCACTGGGGCTCGAACCCAAGACCTTCTTGTTACAAGGTAAGCTCGTATAACATTCAGCCACTTGAATCCTATTCGATGACACATGAATGCCAGGCTAAGACGGAACAGCTGTCCAGTTCTTACTGATTTTCAATGGTCCTGTTACCGATATCAATCCGTCGCATAATCTGAGAGAAAGTAATTTAATTAGCTTTTTAGAATATCAAGAATTTTATTACCGGCACATCACAGACAGGAAACTGTCAATGCAATGCATCTTTGGGTAAACAAGACAATACACATGAATTCAAATAGATTAAGAGGAAACAAGAGTGTGCCAAAATCCTAACTATTAATTACACTTCTTTTCTATTCTCGCATATCTTATAATTCACCCTCAGGCATAATAAATCACCTCCTGAAAAGAAAAGAAAATCTTTCACAGACAGTTTAAATCTTACAAACTGCCACTTTTTACAGCTACAAAACATTATTCAAATGTAAAAGGTTAGGTAATAAAGTAACATAAGTAATTATTAATTCAATATTTAAAGATAAACAATCATAATTCATAAAAGTAATTTTCCCTCAATTCTCAAATTCCATTTTGTTCACGTACTCAGTGATTTAAGTGAATGATTTAAGAAGGGAACAATTTGTAAAGTCTGAAAAACTTTCATCACTAATTAAATTTTAGTAGAGTTTTGAACTTAAATGAAGTCTAAATAGTAATTTTAATGGACACACTTCTATCGTGCACTAAAATTTGTTACGTCAACGCATTATCACATGAAGGATTTCGTCAGAAGTGGCTGTAAATTATACCAGAGTTTGAGAGCAAAACTTGAGGTGTCAGTTACCTGAATTAAGCTATCCCATTAACTATTGTCAACATATCCTCACTTCATTCATTGGAGTGTTTAAATTCAATTGGAAAAAGTTTAACCAAATGTTTAAGTGATATATTTATACTATTTTCAATAAGTGGGAATGTTTATAAAGAGTAAATTTGAGTGAGAGTAGAATTTGGTCACTGTGGTAGAATATAATTCCATTTTAGATAAAGTTATCTGATATAACACACAGTTGTACAGTACTAAATAACTGGATGATAATATGAGCACACTTGATTGCTCATAATCACGTCAACATACCGAATATTGAACGTAAAACGATTTCTAACTCTGATCGGTCACTAGGCTGATGTCATGCACCATTGCCATGCCTATAGTCTCTGGGTTATTGCAGAGTGAATTCTATCAGTCAAGTTTCCAATGCGGTCAACATGCTAGGCGACTGACTCGCCATCACTCTGCACACTGAATTGATCTTAGATGATTGAAGGCAAGTAGTAAAAGTTCTAAACATAGTTTTTGTGCTCCTTAGCAATCGTTAGTATGGTGTTTATGCAATTTTGAAGGAACTCATGTCCCCTCTGAGATTCAAACCTGTGTCACCGAGTACTGAAGTTCTAGACGTTACCACTTAGCTATTCAGGCTTGCAAATGATCTGCTGCAGAACTATAATAGATAATTTGATTGAGCAATAAGCAGAAACTGGTGCCATATTTCAAGTATTTTTCTTTGGTGCAAAGTGAATTCTTACAGTAAAGCTTGTAATTCTGTAGTCGTGCCGGGTAACTCACCATCACAGTTGCAGATACGCCCTATTGACAAGTATCAACCAGCACGAAATCTAACCGATTGCCTCCAATCATCTGATATCAACATGATGATTTTCAAATCTTGCTTCTCTCTGTGATTGTTGCATGAGTTTATTAATTATTCTCCGAACAGGAAGATCATAAGTGCACTCAATGCAAGGGTAGAATTCGGACACTGCAGTAGATATTATTATTATGAACAATGGAACATGCTCACAGTATCATGCAGTTATTAAAACTTTTTCACTCTTTGTTATATCAGATAATCTTATCTAATTTGAAAGATTGAATTCACTACAAAACAATAACTTACTCGTGCAGAAATAATCTATTATCATACTATTCAGTGCGTTGGTGGCACAGCGGTAGAGTGCTCGCCGACCACGCAGGGGTTCGATCACCGGCCACCGACGCACTCCTTTACCTCCCTAAGCCAGTAGTAAGGCTGTAAAGACGGAAGGTTTAGCATGAGGCTAGCAATAATCACCACTGCTACAAAAACTTCAAGCGACTAGCTTAAAGCGCTATGTTCCACTGGGAACTTAAAGGAATAAAACATCATACTATTCAGATGATTAATCTTCAAAGGTTTCTTAGGTAGACAAGTTATAAATTATTCCATAAGAACACCACCGTATTAATAAATGTGTAGTTCATTTGTAATAAAACATTCCAGACTAGTTTTTACTGTATTGTACTTGACAGGTGAACAAAAGTATGGAACAGCTTGAACGCAACAACGACACACATACGCAAAATTTACAGTCATTAATAATTAAATATGCCTCCATTAATGACTTCATGCTGAAAATAACGAAGAAATTCTTTGTCGCATTAGTTTCTTAAGGAAAAACTGTTTTTGTTCAGCGAAGCAATATTTCTTTTCAACGATTTCACTTTCAAGCTGTACAGTCGTATTTATTTTATTTATTACGACACCTTCATTATTTGTGATGAATATTGCGCAACTTCTGAGCTTCTTGGAAAATATAATGGTTCTTATTCATCTATGCTTTTCACTGTTGAAGAAGAAGTGTTGAATTTTCGCATTTCACTTCTTAGATGTGATGCTATGTAGCAGAGAGGAAGGTACGTTAAAAAGGTTGAATTATCGAAAGCCAACATTTACGAGGCATTACATTAACTTCGACAGTTTGAGTACCTCTAGGCAGGAATAAAAACCTTATCCGTTCTGTCTCCTCCAGAATTCGGAAAATCTACTCTATAGCTACGGTCGACATAGAATTAGAAAACCTTTGCACAACTCTCTTAAGTAATAGATATCCTAGAACGTTTACTGACAAAAAAAATCAAGAAAGCAACCATCCCCATTAAAATTACAGTGCCAAAGAAGACACTGTTGATGAGTTTGACGTTCAATGGTGACTCTATTGTTGAAGTTATTGAAAATCGTTTGTTTAAATATATTAAACTCTGTTTCCATGCAGCTGACTTACCTTTAGTATTTACCAGCCGAAAAATGACTCGACAATGCGTCAAGGATAAGCTACCACTTATGTCCACCTCTGTGTGGATATACTCATTCACATGCTCGTGTCGAGCCGATTACATTGGATGTTGTAAGCGTGTTCTCCATAAATGTGTAGCTGAACACTACCCAGTTTGGTTAACAAAAAGTGATGATAGGATGACAAAGTCTTCAATTAGTGAACAACTTCTGGAGTCAGGTCATTTATCCCCACGTGATTTATCCTTTAAAGTTATCTACAGGACCAAATCCAACCACTCCAAAAGCTTACGTTTTCTCCACTTATATGTAGCTTAAGCACTACCTATAAATGAACAGTAAGCTAAATTATGTGTTCAAAACGTTTTACTAGTCTCCTTTCTTTACCTGTGTCTTAGTTATGTTCTTTTATTTTATTCTATTATACCAATTGAATTCGCTGTACTTCACTTCATCTTCACCAACTTTATTGTTATCATCATCGTACTCTTAATTTTTTTGACATCACTTGACTTACTATCTTAAAATCTTAATACCGATCCACTTATTCATCAATCTTTACAAGTTTTGTAATTCATCCACTTCAACTCTACCCCCTGATACATCATTCTATTTTCATATATGAATATATATATATATAGAGTGAGCAATTTCTAGTACCATTCAACGGCTCTTTCCGTAATACAAAAATAAGACTGTACAGCTTGAAAATGAAGTTGTTGAAAAGAAATATTTCTTCGCTGAAAAAAAACTGTGTCTTTCCTTATGAATTAATGGGTTTATTTCGTGACAGTGGCTTCGCACAGCTCTTATAAAACCTATTGCACGTAAAATCATCTCTTCCGCTGAAGTCGGCAGGCAATTTTCGACTTTCAGAATTTCAAATAACTAAATACGTCTGGCAGGAAATTAAGGAATGATATACATTTATATTTATCGGACTTTTATTCCGGAGGTTGCGGGTTTGTGTCCCGCTGGGGATGCAAGTGAAAAGCAACAAGTTGGCAGAAAAAGCATCAAAGATAGGACTTCAGGTAAACATGGAGAAAACAGAGGTAATGAAGATTCCTGGGCAACAACAACAACAACAGACAACAATCAGCATAAATGGGAGGAACCTGAAAGAAACAACCTCCTTCACCTACCTACCTTGGAAGCATCGTTTCAACTACAGGCGACCGGAACTGACGAGGATATCAAAGCAAGAATCTGAAAAGCAAGACAAGCTTTCACTACTCTCAAGTCTGTGTGGAGGTCAACAACACTCAGCATCCAAAATAAGATCCGGATTTTCAACTCCAATGTGAAGTCAGTGCTACTATACGGATCAGAGACTTGGCCAGCGCGTCATAAAGAGCATCTCAAGCAAACTACAGACCTTCATTAACAGTTGTCTTCGCTCAATACTCCGTCAAGATCAGATGGCCGGCCAGAAAAGATCAGCAACAGGGATCTCTGGGAACGAACCAACCAATCAGGAACCGATTGTGCAACAAATAAGCCGGAAGAAATGGAGGTGGATTGGCTGGCCATACTCTGAGGAAACCATCAAGTGACATCACTCGACAAGCCCTTGAGTGGAACCCGAAAGGGAAGTGGCGAGTTGGTCGTCAGTGCAAGGGTGACTTGGAGGAGGTCATGTGAAGAGGAGATGAAAGCATGTGGGCAGACTTTGAGCCAGGTGAAAACTTTAGCAGAGAACCGAACGCAATGGAGACGTGCGGCTGAAGCCCTATGTTCCTCTAGGAACTAAAGGAAACAATAATAATAATAATGCACTAATATACATATATATAACAAAAGTTATCAATAAATTGTATATAGCAACTAACCTGTTTAATTTACTCTTTTTAAATGGACAAGTGTAATAATCTGGTGGAGGATTAGGAATATTTTGTGCCATTATATTAGGAATTCCAAGTGTTCTCAGTATGATGTCGGACCAATTTTTCACTTTTGTATTTTGAATCTATACATTTTTAGGAGATAAATATAATTTAAAGGTAAAAGTATCTTTTTTCGCATTGATTTCTTCAACATCAAATACTTCTGTTTAGTTGATAGTTAATCTCTTCAAACTGTTCGACTCAAAATAATTTATAGTTCATATTTTAGTAAAATTTTTGGTTACTAAGAAAATAAGCTTCATTTAATGAAGTCGAAACAAAAAATTACAAAATAATGTATGTTTATTGTCATTAGTCAACCCTATTATCAGCTTCAGGATATGAACAGTTAACATAACATGAATGTAAAACTGGGAGCAGACAATATAGGAAGAGAAATCATCATAGGTCGATAGGCTCTTGCTCGGCGAAATGAATGAGAATGGTGAACGGTCTGATGAATTTTGTGCCTTCAATGATTTGGTGATGAGAAGCAGTGTGCACAAGCACAAGGATATACACAAAGCAACATGGATTTCGCCTGACAGACACAAAAGAAACCAGATAGATTTCATCTCAAAGTTGCTCAAGGAAGTGGAAACACAACATGCTGGATACAAAGTCGAGAAGGGGAGCAAATGTGAGCTCAGACCATCATCTAGTTCAAGGAACCTTCAAAGTGAAGCTGAAATCCTTCAAAACAAATGGAGACAGACCATAATTCAACACTCAGAAACGGAAGGACTAAACTAAAAAAGACACCTTCACTGCAGCCATCAGAGTAAAGTTGGAGACACTAAGTAGCAACACTGAAGAAAGCTATTTGAAAGAACACTGAAACCCTGTGAAGGTGATGTTTAAGGAAACGTGTGCAGCCGTTCCAGGAAGAAAAAAGAGACAAGACAAGTAGTGTCTGTCTGCAGACACCTGGAAGTTAATCAAGGAGAAAGAGACTATGAAAGAGATGATAAACTAATGTGAAGATAGACAACAGAAGGAGAATCTGAATTCAATGTACACCACAATGAATAAAGAAGTATAGAAGGGTGCGAAGAAAGACAAAAGACCACAGTACGATACACTGACAACTGGAGCAGAACAGATGATAGGCATAAGAGTCCTCAGGATATTATATCAAATAACCAGATCTCTATCCAGGAAGAGATTAACACAGATGAAACCAATAAGAAATGGTAAAATGGACCTATTTACGGAGGAGAACAGACACAGAAAGCAATGGAAAGATCACTTCAAAGGATTCTTGAGTCAACCTTCACCTCTGAATCCTCCAGAAATACCACCGACAGCCATAAAAGTGCCAGTGAACAAAATTCGGAGTTTCGACATCAATGTCAAGTTAGTCACTTCTATATAGGTCAGAAGTATGGTGCGTCATCAAAAGCATTTCCAACAGCCTGCTGCAGACTTTGTCAACAGCTGTCTTCGCTGGCTCCATATTGAATATCGAATTAATACCAAGAAACTGTGGAAACGAACCAACCAAGAACCTATTCCTCAACAAATATTCCTAAGACGGATCGGACGTACTCTAAGGAAACCGTTGAGTGGTATTGCACACCAGGTTATCGCTCAACTGGAACCCGAATGGGAAATGACGAGTTGGGCGTTGGTCGAAGAATGACATGGATGAGGTCGTGCGAGGAGAGGATCAGAGACTATGAGCAGATGTGGGGCCAGCTGATGAGGACTGCAGAGAATAGGACATAGTGAAGATGTGTTGTTAAAGTCCTAACTTCCACTCAGAACCCAAGAGAAAAATGTATTAACCCTTTCTTAAAGAAATAAATTTCCATTGGGTAAACACATATTATTTGTTCAATTAGCTTTCTTTTATGAACTCACAATGTTTCGAATGAAGGAAAAATCTCAGATAAACAATATATGTTATAATTTCAAAATGACTACAGATTTTTTTAAAATCGATCTATTTAACTGAGTGATTACATTTTTTAGAACAAGAATAAGCTAACTGATATGTTACCACGTCTCAGTAAATTCACCCTAGAAATACTCAATTATGAATCTACCAAAAGAAAAACACGAATGGAATAACCGATCAATAATATTTTACGAAAATACTTAACTGTAAGAGAAATGTAGTCAATATGCAGTACAGTATATGGATATATAATATTGAAATAGGTGAATAGACGTTTTCAAAAGTATACCGTTGTTTACGAAATAAAATAAAATCTAAAAGAAATTTAGTGAATAGAGTGATTGTCACACAAATACAATAAAAAACAATATGGTAGGGTTTTTTATAAGATAAGGAAGCGACCAATGACCGTATTATCACTAAAAATGAAGATCAAATTACTGATATAAGTTACCAAACGTTTATTGATAGAAAAATGAATACCGACGGGAAGAATATGGTGGACGGGTAAGGATCAAGTAACTGTACAAAGTTAGTCTACATAGTCAAATCACGTTCATTCGTAATAATTCAAACAGTTTTGTTTGTTTTTCATACAGCCGGTTCCCTTTATCGGTTTGAATAAGGAAAGAACGAACATATTTACAGGCAGGATAATACGAGCTCGTTTTATTTCGTCGATTCTCCTCAACTGCATACTTCCTGAATAAATCAATTATATGTTACAAAATGGTGTCTGAACATACCTTTACAATGATTTCAAGTTACCGATCGAAAGCATAAGCAACATAATTTCAGAGATGATGTAAGTAGACAATTATTAAGTGCTTAAAGAATAACTACTAAAACAGTAGTTAGACAAGGGGTTAGAGTTCAAATGTCTCTTGGAAACAAGGATGGAATACAGACAAAACACAAGATAGAACAACAGGAATAATTATATACATATTACAGTAGAGAGTTCAGGAGGGAGGCGGGAGTGAATAGTGAAATAAAATTATAAAATAGATAAAATAACATAATTTAGTAGATCGGGAAACTTAACAGTGAGTACAACTCAGTAAGCGAAAATCAAAATTGAGTGGAATGTTATGCAACAGAACAAAACATTTTTGGTTATCAGGGCAGTGATAGATCAGTCACATAATCTTTCTGTATGCATAGGTTGGGTCGAAGTCTTTTGATGACAGTGGCTTCTGCGAACCAGTGAAAGCACGCTTTTTCTTTATGTATTGATTATTTTGAAAGCCTGACTAATTTCCACTGTATGTCTTGTGTCAATGAGGTATCAGGAGATTGCGCTTGAGAACATTTTTCTGCCTCGAAAACGGAGACTTTCAGGAATATTCTCGAAGAATCTAGTAGATACTTTCTTCTCATTCCTTCCTATGTACTTGCTGCTGCAAGTGCGGGTGAATTGGTAAATGCAACTGGAGTTGACATGAGCAGGATACTTATCTACTTTTGACTGGGTGAACGACTTTACTTTTTTGTAAAGTAAAATGAGTCTAGCTGCGGGAAATTTTCTTTCCAATGAACCTTTAATCTTGTTTTCCATTCTTATATATACTTCTTCGCCTTTGTACTCTAACAGATAAAAACTGTTCTTTCAACTGTATCGGTTTCAGTCTAGGTGGTTTCTCCTTCCCATATTTTGATATGAACTTCCGAGGGTATGCATTTTCGATAGGGTTATTTTCTATGACTGCGAGTTCCTCTTCGATTTTACCTTTTGAACACAAAGCCCTAGCTCTGCTGAAGTGCGTTTTCACCAGGCCCCGTTTGTAGCCTATTAGACGGAAACTGTAATAATTCAAGTATCGGCCAGTTCAATTTTCTTTTCTGTTGATGGATTTTTCAATTGCCCCATCTTTTCTTATTCTTATGTTGAGGTCTAGGAACAAGGAACTGATTGTCACATTCATGGTCCATTGTTTTATTCGGTGGAGAAAAAAATAACTCTCATACAATAATACAGGATGAATCCACTGATTTGAACTGACAATGTTTATGCACTCAGTCATTTGCTTTTTTCAATTATTTCAGTGTAATTTCATGAGTATGCACTGATAAAGATGAATAAGTACAATCCACATACACGAAACATCATTCGTAGGTAATCATCTAATCATACACTTAGGAAAATATCTTTATCCATCTGCTTTTCAGTTATGAAGATGACAAAAAATGTTAACCCCCGCTAGAAACTCATTTTAGAAGACTTTGTTTATCAAATGACGTGTTGTAAAAGCCTTATTGTTACTGTGACTGAATGATAAATAAAATTTATTAATATTAATGTTAGCTGCTCTTTCCCTTCATCACGGCTTGAACGTGGCAAGTACCTTTATTAAAACCTTCAGAACAATTTATTGGCTTCACAGTTTTGTAAATGTAGAAAAACAATTTCTTTTCTGAAACAAAGATATTTACCGAAGTTTCTCAGTTAATAAAATGTGAAAATACAGGAATGTATAGGGCAATCTGTCGCCATTTATAATATATGTATTTATCCTACGTAATATAAGCATTTATCTTCCTAAAATAATGGCCTCATGTAATAATGTTTTTCGCCAGTCAGTTTATCTAGTCTGGATGGATAGTTGTGAAATATCTATAGACAGAAGACAAGTAGTTCAGCGAAGAGTCTCTTTTCGGCGAATTCATTTCCATAGCTGTACAATCGCAAATATATATGGTTGTTTTGTATGTGTGTGTACATTAAATTTGTCAAACGAAATTACAATTATTAAGTTCAGGTGAATTAAGTGTAGATATAAGAGGGTAGTAACAAAAGTGATGATGATGCAGAAGCCCAAAAGACAAGATCCCACACCTGACCACTTCTATGTGTATATATCAGTTCACCTGTTGCTGTGGAGCCAGGTACATCGGTCGTTCAACGCGCATCCTGTCAAAAAGGGTCAAAGAACACTATCCAGCGTGGCTGCAGAAAGGAAGTAATGGCTGCATAAGGAGTGCAATAATCGAACACCTCGTCAACACTGGTCATACCACCATCTCAACAAACGCCTCCTTCAAAGTAATCTACAAAGTGAAGAACAACCTTCCAAAGACAGTACGATTGCGTCTTCTTTGCATCGCAGAAGCCCTAGCCATTCAGTTAGAGGAACCAGAACTGTGCATACAAAAGAAAATTATTCAACCACTTCTACTCCCACGGTAACAACTGTGTTGATTTGACTTAACTTTTGTTTGTTTTTTGATTTGACCTAACTTTTGTTTGTATGCTTATTTTTCTACTTAAAACCCTTGTGTAATTCCGCATATTTTGTTTCCATATACACCCTGAGAACAACTCTTTCATTAAACTATTCATGTTATTATGTAACTCTTCTTTAACAATAGTTTGTGACAACTCATCACTTTTGTTACTACTCTCTTATATCAACATCCAATTCATCTGAACTCACTAATTGCATTTTCGTTTGACAAATTTAATGTACACACATACAAAACAACCATATATATTTGCGATTGTACAGCTAGGAAAATGAATTCGCCGAAAAGAGACTCTTCGCTGAACTACTTGTCTTCTGTCTATTAATGTTCGAATGGGAATTTTTCATGAAATATCTATAGATGTTATCTACTAATTGCTCTGTCAAATTAATTGAGAACTATATATATGTATAAACTGGATCTCTGTTTCGTTAAAAAAGGCCAATCAGTGCACAAAACGAATGTGTTGAGTCCCGTTAGATTTTTCCAGCCGTGGCTGAAAAAATTGCCATTCGAAATATTAAACCTAAACTGTGTATTCAGCCATTGTCCCTACGTAGATTAGTACGTAAAACTTGGACATTATGGTAGTAAGAAACTTCATACTAATTTGTTTCACTGAGTACAAACCCAACCAACTGATTATACCACCACCTCTTATGCATTTTTAATCCCTTTCCAAAAAACTCTTTTGTCAACGATTTTCATTAAAATTTAGTTTATCCGCTTCGCTTACAACCTAGCATTACATGATCTTATTGTCTGTTTTCTAAGCTTATATCTACCGCAAATATAAATATCCAGATCATAGTTGTTGTCAGTCCTCTGGGATAATTTGAGTACCGGCGTCATTTGAAAATAAAACAAAATTTTTCTAAATGTTTCACCATAGCGTCTTCAGTAGAAGAACGACGAATTACTTGATCATCTTGTTGGTAATTTATATACGTGAACCCGGGGGTTTAAGTAATAAATGCCTTCAGTAATCCTAAGTATAAAATTCACATATCCATGAGACATTTATTTAAATATAAATATTTATTTAAATTTCTCTTAGGAATAAATTTAATTCATTCAGACTCCAAAAGACATACACGTGTTTCACAAATTCTGAATATATACAAACGTCAAGTCAGTTCTTCTATACGGATCAGAAACTTGGCGGGTCACAAACAATATTTCCAACAGCCTGTTGCAGACCTTTATCAACAACTGTCTTCGCTCTATACTCAAGATCAGATGGCCGGAAAGAATCACCAACAAGAAACTATGGGAACAAACAAAACAAGAACCAATCGCTCAACAAATATACAGGAGAATGTGAAGATGGATTGGACACTCGCTAAGGAGGCCGCTGGGTGACATCACGCGTCAGGCCATAGCTCGAGTGAAACCCGAAAGGGAAGTGGCGGGTGGTTCGTCGGTGCAAGGGTGACATGGAGGAGATCGTGTGAAGAGGAGTTGAAACAGTATGGATTAACATGGATGCAAGTGAAAAGTACAGCAGAAGACAGAAGCAAGTGGAGACGTGTAGTTGAAGCCCTATGTTCCAATAGGAACCCAAGGGAACAATAATAATATAATAATTCTATTTATCAACATGATGTCAGCATAAAAATGCTTAAATGAACGTACTTCGAGAGGAGCTCGCAGATTTAAACATTCAGCATGATGACACATTACATCCCAAGGGATATGCAACTTCAAGTAGTGTGTTTCTAGAGTTGAACATTTCACATCCTCCTGGAAAAAGATAAAAATAACGAGAGATTTAAGCATTACAGCCTTTTTTTCAAATTTCCATGGTAATAATGAAAAATTAAAAAAGTACTAAAGAGTTATTCGTTTACTGAAGCAGAGGAAGAACAACAACCCAACATAAATTGAAATTACATTTTATATAAAAATTTATTTAATTCTTTATTACGTAACTCACTATAAACTCACTCAACTTAGTAATGAAACATTAGCTGTCAAATATTAAAACTTCAAGATTATCATATATTATCACACATACATCATTCAAGTTACCATAGCAACACCTTGATGGGGATGGTGAATCGACTTATACCTATTGCACTCACGTGAATGAAGACTAAAAAATTCAGATATCTGCTTATGTACTATACTAAGACTGCCTTTTATTCAAAACATAATCCAATAAATACTTACTAGTTTAACTTGATGTCTGTAAAAGCCATTTGTCAACATTTAGGTTCCTAAAAGAGGTGAGGTATTTCCATTTCACTCAGTGTATATTAATTACACCTAATTTTACCTTCGTTAGCCTATAAGATGTATATTTTGCAATTATATTTAAAATAATATTTAAGTAGTAAAAAATAATAGAAATAAAAATAAAGACGAAACTATTTAAACTTTTCTAAGAAACGTTCCAGTGAAAACAAAGCCACGCATCAGTAAAGATTCATTAATTATTAAAAGAACAGAAAATAGAGAAAAAAGATGTTGCCATTTTAAAGGAATCCTAAAAATGCAAACGTCCAAGGAGAAAGCAGTAATTAACTGGCTTTATATAAAATATAGAGCTTAATTCACCTTGGCTTTCTGGATATGATATATATATATATGTATACATATATATATATTCCATATACAAGAAAAAGTTTCTATAAGACCACTTTCTTTCTTTATGAAATCATATGGCCTTTAAAGATCGCACAGAAGAAAAAATGGGAAAAATGCATCAGAGTGAGCAAAAGCCTTTGCGCCAAAGAATAATTAGTATACTGCTATTTCGCTGAAACTTCTACGTATACAATGAGCCCTACATAGTGTCGCAAAATGTTTAAAGAAATTTATTATAAGAAGGGATATTGTTTTTGTGCACAACTTTCTCTCCTTTACTATCAGCTAGGTGAGATTTGGGAGTGTGTGGGCCGGGGCTCGAACCTGGACCACTTACGTGGCGATCATTCTACCACTGAACTACTGTCGAACAATAATAAATAAGATAATCATCATGGTTTTCCAGAAGAATCACAGCTAAAAGAGATCCGTTACATCCAGAATATAAACATAATTTGAAAATTATATCCATGTATATCAGTATGTCATTTCAGTGTTATTAGACACATTTAACACTTAGTTTTGAATGCCTTAATCCGCTGTCAAATTATAGTTATCACCTTGGAAATAATCAATGGTCACTCACAAATCAAATCACTAAAACAAAGCCTGTTAAGTTTAGAGTAAGGGTTAAATAATAGTGAATTCCTTTTTAATTGGCACTTTTTATCTACGCAATTTACGTAGTGAAACGTCAACTGTTAAACATGTGATAAGTAATCCCTGAATGAAAAACTTGCAGTTTGTTCAGTTTTAAAAAGATTCAACAAAGTGGAATAGATTTGACAGAATATAAAGCATCTCACTATATACTAGAAAATTTACTTAAAAACTCCCATCTATCAACCTTTTACATCAACTGTTGCCACAAAATGTACAGCCTGAAACAGATTTCAAATGGGTTTTGTTGCCAATTAATTAAGTATAGTTGATGGTTTAAGTACTGAATCTGAATCTTGTCACAAATTCGCATGACTGAATCACCGTTCAGACCACTGCTCATAATTCTTACATTGATCTCAAACATACTTTATTCCCACTATTTTACAGATATTATTTTTCATCTGAAATGTTTTAACTGACATAGAGCACAAAGACAACAAATGCGTAACTGACAGGAAGATTGAGATATCGTCATGATGAATGGAAAATAATGAAAATGAATTGCTTAAATGCCTCATAACAAATCCGCACAAAAATAATATTATTAACTAAAGAGAGGTTGAGCATTTCGGTTATTTCACTTAGCGTTAAAAACATCATTATTTAGGAAGGAATGCTATTATTATTATTATTGTATCCTTTAATTCCTAGAGGAACATAGGGCTTCAGCCGCACGTCTCCATTGCGTTCGGTTCTCTGCTAGAGTCTTCGCCTGGCTCCAAGTCTGCCCACACGTTTTCATCTCCTCTTCACATGACCTCCTCCAAGTCACCCTCGCACTGACGACCAACTCGCCGCTTCCCTTTCGGGTTCCACTCGAGCAATGGCTTGTCTAGTGATTTCACTTGATGGTTTGTTTTCTCAGAGTATGGCCAGCCAGTTCACCTCCATTTCTTCCTGCCTATTTGTTGGACAATCGGTTCCTGATTGGTTCGCTCCCAGAGATCTCTGTTGTTGATCTTTTCTGGCCATCTGATCTTGAGTATTGAGCGAAGACAACTGTTAATGAAGGTCTGTAGTTTGTTTGAGATGCTCCTTATGACTCGCCAAGTCTCTGATCCGTATAGTAGCACTGACTTCACATTGGAGTTGAAAATCCGGATCTTATTTTTGATGCTGAATGTTGTTGACCTCCACACAGACTTGAGAGTAGTGAAAGCTTGTCTTGCTTTTCTGATTCTTGCTTTGATATCCTCGTCAGTTCCGCCTGTAGTTGAAACGATGCTTCCCAGGTCGGTAGGTAGGTGAAGGAGGTTGTTTGTTTCAGGTTCCTCCCATTCATGCTGATTGTTGTCAGATGTTGTTGTTGCTGTTGGTGGTGTTGGCCAGGAATTTTCATCACCTCTGTTTTATCTATGTTCACCTGAAGGAATGCTATAGAATACTTTTATTGTATAGATAAATGTGAAATGATAAGCTTCCACTCATACTGCAAACTATGGCTTCTATGAGATACGTACAAATGCTTACTGACAGATGAAGGTAATGCTGTACAACGGTTTAAACATAATTCAGTTAACAAAGAAGTTAGATTTATAGTACCAGGTAAAGAAGTTAATAAGATTATGAATAGCAATCTGTTGTTACGGTTGGGACTATGTTAACTATACTATTTCAATATAGAAAATATCCCCATTTAGACATTTGGAAAACAGAAAGATTGAGCGAAGAAATATTTACTTTTCAATTAGATCCTCTTCTCTGGCTCTACTCTAATATATATATATATATATAGCATTTTTACAATACACAACAATTTATCAAACAAGTGGTGATTTTCTTCGTTAATTATCAACCCATTGACATTTTGACATTGTTTAATTATTGCTAAAAAACAGATCACCACTTGTTTGGTAAATTGTTGTGTATTGTAAAAATGCTATATGTATTAGAGTAGAGCCAGAGAAGAGGATCTAATTGAAAAGTAAATATTTCTTCGCTCAATCTTTCTGTTTTCCAACTATACTATTGTCTATAACAGTGTCCTATATTGTAATGCACGCTGAAAATTCCATACCTGTACCGCAAATACTGTTTGGAATAAAGCTATTATTATTATATTAGTGTTAGTCAAATCAAACTGAAAAACTATCACTGCAGTTTTATCTTATTTTCATGTTTCTTGTTATCCATCTTCTTTTACCTTACCTCGACACACACAGTTTCAAACTTTTCAAACTTGACTGTATATAACACAGTTAGACGAAATGCCTCACTTCGAATGCTCATGTTCACTTTTTTTATTTATAGTAATTAGTCTACACATTAGTTAATTTCACTGGCCAATTTCTTGCACTAACAACGAACTTTTTTTATCCTTATCTGATTTATTGTGTTAAGTACATCGTATAACTTGTAAAGTCAAAAACATATTTTCTTGTTTACAATACATCAGAAAATGAAGTTCAAAATCAATGTACTTAATTTTGCTAGGCTTTATTTATTACTTAGAATTTAAGGCTTATTAAGTAGTACATTGAGTATTAAAAATGAGTTTTAAAATTAGAAAATAGATAGTTCACAAGATGATTTGAATCATTTAGTAAGGAAATATTCTTTTTTCTCCCAACAAGATTGTATTATAATTTCATTTACTGATGTGTATAAAAATATGTTGTTTCACATGTCTGATAACGGTTTTTCCAATGGGACCAATGTAATTAAATGCACATACATATAAGTAGTTCCTTTTTAGTCAGTTTTGCTAGAAGCCATCATCATTATCTTTTACCATGTTTTTTGTTTGAATCCAGTTCGAATACTAGTCCTATTTTTCTGAAATTCACCTGTAGTTATAACTAACGTGCCAGCTAGATTTGCTTTCCTAATGTTGTTTCGAATTGTGCAAATGTACTTCATTACTTTTATTTAATCAATTATTTTATTATTTTGTTCCTTTACATTCCAAGTAGAACATAAAGCTTCAGACTACAGCTTTGAAGACTCAGTAGCAGTGAGTGTTTTTTATTTTTATGTGTTAGGGTTGCTTGCCTCACACCCAAACTTTCCTCTTTATCGGACTTACTACCGACTTAGTGAGGTCCAGGAGTGTGTCGGCCGGGGATCAATCCCTCGATCATAGGAGCCGTTGTTCAGCGTTCTGCCGCTGAACTACCGACGCTCATTACTTTTATAGTCAAACGGAATTACTGGATTTTTAGCAAATGCTTTTTCTATATTGGATAAGTTTATTTGATATAAAGTTTTAATAACTGCAACCCTGTGTGTTATATCAAATTAACTTATATAATAAAGAAGTAGGGACTGTCACAATGCCTGAATACTACTCTTGCATTAATAGATGCTTCTTTATATGCACCTTCAAGAGACTGATCTATCTTTTATCTTTGTTATCAGAAAATTCAAGAAGTAAATTTTACTACATCTCTTATATCTGATATGAAAATCATCACATATTTAAGGATCATGGCTATTCACTCATATATATATCCCATATTTACCCACAAACGCATCCTATGCAAACGCATTATGCTTCTACGAATTTTGAGTCTTTCTTTGAATTCTCAAATATCGCAAACAGTACATAAATCAAATCTACAAATTATTGTTTGTCACCAAAATATTCTTTATCTCAAATTTATGTGTCTTCACTAGTGTCGACTAGCCTGTTACAGAGATTTTAGACAATTTCAAAGTATTATCTTCACAAAAATATCGGCATACTGAAATTTAGGAAAGTATCTATTTTATACGGAAGTTTTCAAAGACGAATTAAAAAGGGAAAAATAAAACAGCATTCAGAGAAGAAACTTTTTCAACAAAAAGTACATTCGCATATATATGTCTATAATATTTCTGGAAACTTAATAACAATGAAAACCTAAACAACTGCTGTTAATAGAAGTAACGTTTTCGCTCCTACTTTTTTGCGTTGTGAGAAGGACACACAGCTTTAAGCTTTGAAGAAGTTTAAGTGGCATTGATGTTGTTTTTTACAGAGTGTGGCTGCTAGCATCAGACACGAACTTCCTTCTTTCCGAGGATTACTACTGGCTAGTAAACCATTCAAGGTTTAGAAGTACATCGTCTGAGACTGGAAACCTGGAATACATACTTGGTTTGTGGGAATTCTACCTTTGATCCAAAGATGTTCTATAACAGTAAGACTTATGTTAACTAAGATTAAAGCACTTAAATTCATAGGCTTATTTAAGCAGTTAGCGATAACAAAGTAGATTACGTAGTTCACAAGATCATTAAAAAGAAAGTATGTGTTTTAGAAAGAAATGTGATATGAACAGGATTATTAAATAAACACACCAATAAGGAGCAAGATAGTACAGTTCAGTTGAAAATTATGTTTTTTATTGCTAAATATAATTTACTAGAAGAAATTAGTGTAATAAAACCGGAAAATGTCCCATGCGAAGGTCATAATAATAACAAGTTTTTTTTAATCTTTCAATTTTAAGGACAAGGTAAGTGGAGGAATTGTACACACAGCTTTTACAAACAATTTTCAACTAATGAATAACTACCTCATCTTCATTTTTAGGAGGTTTGAAAAGATGTGGTTCCGGTGAATTTGGTGAACAATTTTAGAACCAATGTGACCTCAAATATTTTTGTCATAATTGTTTCCAAGTATTGGTTTTTAGGGATTTTTGTTTGATTGCATGGAGGATTTCATCATGAGCTGACATCATTTAGAGAACCACTGGAAAACCTGGGAGTACTGGACGACTGTTTCGTCCTCTTTTGGGAATCTTCATCAGTAAGCACCCACTGGGGTTCGAACCCAGGACCTTCTGGTTACAAGGCGAGCTCGTAGACCACTGAGCCACTGGGACCCAATCCAATGTCCAGTACTCCCAGGTTTTCCAGTGGTTCTCTTAATGATGTCAGCTCATGATGAAATCCTCCATGCAATCAAACAAAATCCTTACAAAACCAATACTTGAAAATTAATCTGATGCTCACTAGCGACTGGTCCTATTCAGGCAGTTAACCTGGGGTTCTAGTGGGAAGCCGTGACCAGTAGGGTATAGCAGATTGAAGATGAGGCAGTAACTCATCGAAGAAGACATTGCGAAATGGTCGCGCTATGTCGTGAATTGGCAGAAGATAGAATTCATGGAGTGGCCATTGGATCGGGTCTCAGTGGCTCGATGGTTTACGATCTCATCTCGTAATCAGAAGGTCTCGGGTTCGAACCCCAGTGGGTGCACACTGATGAAGAGTCCCAAACAAGGACTAACCAGCTGTCTAGTACTCCCAGATTTTCCGACGGTTCCCTAACCGATTTCGGTTAGTAATGAAATCTTGAAATAAATTACAAATTCTGAGGATAGCGTTGGAGAAATTTTTAAACAACTATTTGAAATAATCAAGTCCCTCAGAGTTAATTGAACATCGTGTCATACAATCACTGGAATCATTATGGATGTAATTCAGCACAATTATTGTAGCCATATAAGAATTCATTTGGATTAACACCAGGAACCAAATTACACAATATCCTTAGTGACACAATTTCAAGTGAACTTACCTTTTCTATTTGAACACCAGCTTTTTGTAAATTATCTTCAAATGTTTTGCGATAGGTACTGTTAATCTTTCTTATTTTACTTGTTGCGCTTTCATTGACTGGTTCGTCCCAAACTAAAACATAATCTGGACAAATAAAATAAATACGCAACTATAATGCTGAGCTGAGAGGTAATCTTACAGAGAAAAATCATATTTCTACGTCGTTTCATTTCGTTTACTGATAAAAGTATAATTGCATTTTACTATGCAACTCAAACATACTTAATTGTTGTTTTTATTTTACATAATAAGTGGACAACTAGCGAACTGATCGCTAAGCTGACACTGGAACATAAAAAGGTTGAATGGGAAAAAATAAAAACCATCCATTCAGAAGTAGATGCAATCAAATGTTGACAAATACTTCAACAATTGCAAACATTCTAATCAAATTGGAAAAAACACAGACATTCAAACGGTAAAATATGAAGGAAACAATTTTCCTGGTTATATGTGTATGTCAAACAGAAACTGATTATACTGACTCCACTTTGAAATCAGGGAACAGTGTATAAATAGACTGTATACTGGAGTGGAAAAAAATGGCTAGTTACCAGTGCATAACTGGTAGATGTTTGGTAGTTGAAAGCAATCAACTTTAGGAAGAAAAAACTACGCTTAAAGACTGTAGTGTACGTCTGCTTAGATATACATATTGATGTGCCAACTTTCTAGTTGTGATTAAAAAAGGTTGATAATTTCGTATATGGATACTGAAACGTCAACTGATTAAAATTATCATACTCCTGGGGGAACGATGTAGTTAATTTCATAAAGTAATTGAAATAAACTCAAATGAAAATATCGTAGGCGTCTCAGTACAAAGAGAATATTACCTTACCAATCGAAATATACACGTTTCGCTCATTATCCGAAACGCTTATCTAATAAAAAAATTCTATTCAAGTGTTGATTTGTAGGGATTTGATTGGTTACAGGATTTTCATCATGAGCTGACATTAGTTAGAGAACCAGTGGAAAATCTGGGAGTACTGGACAGCTGTTTCGTTCTAGTTTGGGACTCTTCAGCAGTACATTGGATTGGGTCCCAGTGGCTTCATGGTATACAAGCTCGCCTTGTAACCAGAAGGTCCTGGGTTCGAACCCCAGTGGGCGCTTACTGCTGAAGAGTCCCAAACTAGGACGAGGAAACAGCTGTCCAGTACTCCCAGGTTTTCCACTGGTTCTCTAACTAATGTCAGCTCATGATGAAAATCCTGTAACCGAAAAAATTCTACTTCTAGGTATTCTAGACACTATTTTCGTGAAATAAAAGTTGAATAATAAGTTCATTTTGCAAACATTCCAGAGAAGTTAGTTCTAATCCCTCCTATTTCACCAACATACTGTAATTGAATTTCTATTAAACTGTAGGAATTATTTTACCCTTGGAATTTCTATAGAAAATACTTTTTCTCTATCACACTCATTACACTAACTGATTAGACATGACTAAGCACTTAAGTAGTATTTAAGAGATTCATATAAACTAATAAAAATTCCTTGGAAATGTCTTTTCGATAGTAACACTATTTCGAGAATATCAGCTAAACCCATAAAACACGGGTTTAAAGACCTTATTGGTTTTACACCTAAATTCGTTTAATACATAACCATAAAAGTGGCTTAAACCTGTTTTTGTGTTCAGAAATTATTTCCACCCTTTTTTTGCTTACCTCATTTTCCCACTTCTTATCTGTGGTCGTGACCCGTAAACATTCTGACTTATATTGATTTAATTTCAACCCTTTATACTCTGTTAGCTTTTATATAAACGTGTATGGCGAGTGAGTGTGTGTGATGAGAATGTTCGAAATGTGCTGTCCAAATGCATTTATACATTTCAAATAAATATTGTCTTCTTATTGTTTTGTCGAAAACTGAGAAAGGTTATTCCCAAAGCTCTCCGTATTACTCTGCCTATGCCTTTCCAGTAATGTTACACTTCTGTTAGACGCATAACAAAATTAATTGGAAAACACCATTTTCGATCATCCTGTACTTACATCATTCTTGTCCTTCAACATCACAAAATAACAGTCAATACTTAAACTTTCTGGGTTACACTTGGAGTGTCAGATTGTTGACACCATAATAATTGATGTCTTTATCACTAGCTTCAATAAAGTGTAAAACTTATTGGCACGTTTCATGATTATTTTACAGTGTGGATATTTTTTCTACATGTCAGTATCCTTCTGTTTCATTACTGATCTCCTTGGTTGACTTTTTCTGTTTGGGAGAAAGACAGTCATCTCTGGCTAACTCCTATGTTCCGTCTTTGTTGACTACATTCTCATCAGAATGTCAGATATCTGAATTCTCCTCTCAAAATTTGTAATTTTGTAAATGATGAATTTGTTCCAATGCACTGCGAACCCTCAGTTCACTAACAGGACTTCAGATGCGGGGATCACTGCGACCTGGACAGCAGTCACTAACTGTTGATGTCAATGATTATCATGTACTCATATCAGTCATATTCTGATAGCTGCTTTAATGCAATTCGTAGTATTGGGTATGCCATGTATTATGATAAAAATATTTTAGGTTTCTGAGAGAAACCGTGACAAATATTCATATAACTCTATTTAATGTACAAATAAAAAATTTAGTAGAAAAACTTTATTTGCCCTGTTCGAGTTTTTCTTTCGTTAGACTAACCAGAAAAATAACAATGAAAGAGAAAGACACCGAAAAATACAAGAAATATTTCGCAATCTAAAAAGAACTACTCTTGTGTAGCTAAGCAGAATGTAAAGTTGAACGGTTGTGTAAAAACTGGGCAAGGTCGAGAGTAACAACGCTTAAGTACTGAAGAACAGTTTCTAGATCAAAGTTTCAAAAGTACCAAATGACTTCCATACTAATATTGTACTGAAGAATCTTCTTCTTAATCTGGTGATCCAGAGGATAACGCTTTGAGCGTCAGTAGTTCGATGTTAAAATGCTCGCCGTTCACGCTGATTAACTGACTGACCGAACGGTTTTACCATGCAGCAGTTCGAGTTGCCACACTCCACTTACCACAAAAAGCAAGAGAACAGAGTAAACGGAGGTCCAAAAGACAGATAACAAACACAAGTGTAAGGCAAGAAGAATAGTAATGTGGAAGAACAATATAGTTTTATTGGATATTATAAATCAAATGAGTGAACGATTCTGCACCAGCAACTGAGAACGACTTTGAGCAGCATCACCAATTGTCTCCAGCCGTTGGTTTTGCCATCCCAAGGACCTCAACCAAGAAGTCTACACCTCCCCCTGTGGCTGCAGTGGATTTCATTGAATGAAGCCATGTTTTGATTTAACCACCTCTAGCCAACTCTCTTCCAACCTGATCCTATGTCACCTAATATTGTCCGTCGAGGAAGGCTATAGCCAGACGTACGTAACACATGTCCTAACCATCTCAATCGATGTAACTTCGCAGCCTCGTCAGCTGATATCCCCTCCTTACTTAGCGCTCGACGCCTAACCTTAATATTACTCACCCTATCATACCATCTGACACGGGAGATAGAGCGCAGATACCTATGATGGAAGACAGCTAGCATTTTCATGTCTTCCACCTTCAGTGGAAGAGGACACAACGAACTGGTGAGAAGTACAAACGTCCTTTGATCAATAGCCAACCGGTTATCACGTCTACGCCAGAGATGGGGTAAGTTGGCGTACTGTCAAACGAGCCCTCTGTATCCGTGCTGATGTTTCGTCAGCGATCAGCCCGCTGGCACTGGCTGATGTGAACTTCCGAATAAGTGAAGTGTTCAACACGCCCCACTAAATCACTACCTATCTTAAAGCTAAGAGTCGATTCAGTCCAATCATGTAGTATTACCTTACATTTGACGATAGCAAATCGAATGCCAAACATTCGAAAACTGCTGCTCAAGGTGTCCAGAACACCTTACTCTATTTCGTCAGCGTTTTCACCTAGAAGGACTACTTCATCCGCATATTCTATGTCAACCAGCCAGTCACTCTGGAAGTCACGTTTCAATTTTCCAGCTGACGAATACTTAAACACCAGAAAGTTTACTAGCTGGTGGTAACGCGGTAAAAGAGGAAAGTCCGTGCATGAGGCTACCACCCTCAGCCTGTAAAAACAACACCATCACTACTGAGACGTCACGTAAAGCTCGAAGCCCCATGTACGACAAAAAATGCAAGATATATCAAAAGAAAACCATCAATTTTATTTTTACTTTTAAGTACTTCAAGAAGACGTTAACCTCCACTTTAATTGCATTCAGCTAATATTAACAATCCAATAAAGTCACAGCATGAAGTTTTCTCATTCTAGTCATGAATACCCAAATTTACCTATACCCCTCTTAAATTTTTCGCTAATTTTGCCTGTCAACGTTTTCTCCTCAACCATTTCAAATTGAGTAATCATTAAAAAAATATTTCTGTCGAAATATGTTCATAATTTTTATGAAACTGCAGCAACAACGACAACAATACATTACAACAATAATCGCAGATGGAAAATAAACTCCATTTACTCAATCTGCAATTTGGGCTATGAATATGTTTTTTTTCATATTTTTGATTTCGGTATAAAAGATTCTATATTAGTTATTCATTAAAACCCATATGATCATTACATGAAGCTGTACTAAATACTGAGCATTCGTTGACAGAAAACAAAGTACCCTCCATTTATAAAAAAATGAGGACTGATCATATGGTACTCGCACTTATCTTACACTAATCATTATTACATATGATTAAATAAGCCAATTAGTGGCTTTCAATTAGACGACTCTTTATAATTCCGCTAACAGACATTTTGTATTCACCGCATTAATTATTTTATTGTCTTTTTCTGTGTCATCGTATTCATTGCGTAGACACATTGTTTTTTAGGCAATACAGTGTTTTATGTTTTCACGTTAGTAATAATAATAATAATAATTAAGAAATACTTATGCGGAGACTTCCTTTAAAACAAATCTAACCTTTGTCTCACAACGGATATTTTATAATACCGTATACTGGCATACAGAGTATGACAGGACTGATATTTGTAAATATTCCCTATCTTCTGCATATCTCTTCTAGCCAAAATAATAAAAACTAATAAGTTTAAAAATTAATTAGAGGCAGTATACACATTCGTAACTATTCTTTGACTTTGATAAAGTAAGAAGTACAACAACAGACTTAATTTTATGTCAAAAAAAATGAGTTGTTTCTTCTATCAGTGCTTTTAAGACTTTCGCTTTTAATACAAAGTGTATAATGCAATTAAAAGCAACAGAGAATAGTGAAAAAAGGCATATCAAAGGATAAAAAAGGATAGAGCGGTATGGAAAAACGAGGAAAGAATTTTTTTCCTTTAAAATTACAGTTACTTTTGGTGAAAATACAAAACAAAATTAGCCATTTCTAAGATATCTTGGTTGACTGGTACTTGGAATAGAGATAAAAAGTCATCAGTGATGATAGTAACAAATTCTCGTAGGAGACAAAAAGCAGATTTTCTATGTTTACTTCAGAGGAAATCTTAACTGTTGACAAGTTATCATAACTTGAGAAATTCCACAACAAAGTAAAAAAATTAAATCCGCCAAGTTTCTATGCAATTCTCCTACTTTGTCTAGAAATTTCCGGAAAGATTTACATTTCTGTGTCTTCGACTTATTCAAAATTAGGAATAAATGAAAAACCTTTTTGTGCAGTAGAGATTGCATAAATCTTTTTCATAACTACGGAAACAAATTCATTTTTGAAATACTGATGTATAGGATAACAATTAAGACTGGAGCCATAATCTACACCTTGATTTTAGTTTATAGGTGATGGCTAGAGGTGAAATCTGGTACGTGCGTTTCATTTTTCTGGAAACTTATCAGTTGGATATACCTTCATCACAGTCTTATATATTATTCTCATTGGGATTCGAACACTGTATTCCCTGTTTTAAACTCCATTGATTTAGCCTTAAATCCTGTATTGTCAGTCCAGTGGAACTAAAAATACAAGAAGTTTGGGAGCTATTAGAGGCAGAATTTGAAACAGCCTGTATACTGGGTGGTTTTCATGGCTTGATAGTATACCGGATAATATCTTGATGTTTGAAGTTGTGGGTGCTTCGTATTAGCCTGAGTGGGAAACCCACCACTCACTGGGAAGCAAGTGAATCCGACTGATGAGCTTCAAATAAGAAAAAGCATGCGTTCTAGTAACAGCATATCAAGGTAACTTTCTGTGTCTATGTAACAAGAGAAACAAATTGCTTCACTTCAGTAATATTAAGTGAGCTCATCTATATTACGCAGTAGTCTTCACTGTTTTTCCAAAAAAGAATAATGATGTCACCAGTGGTGACGGTTGACAGTGAATTTAGTGCATCTCTCGCCAGATATTAACTAGAAATGATATTAACGTCTTGCTCATAACACTGAGATATACGTTTACAGTCACATTATATTTCCGAAATTCAAGACAGTCAAAATACCCGTCTGTAACGTAAAGTAACTTAAATTACTATATGATTATTTTTTGTCGAGATCATGACGTTTTATATAGTGTAGTGGGTGTTTATAAATATTATAATAACAATATCGGAGGATAGTGATTAACAGAACATAGAGGTTGTGACTGGTCATCCAAGCTTATTGAATAAAATACAAGCTCTTTTTGGTTATCATGCTGGTAATTCCTGGGATTCCCAGTCTACGTTTATCACTGTCAGTAGCAGCTATTCTAATAATAAATGAAGATGAGCTTCAATGATAAAGCCAGTTACTGAAAGTAGGTACAGTTGTAGCAGTTATTTTGATAATATTAAGTATACACTTTTAGTCCTTTTATATAGTCGATAAAGATTGACATTTTTGACCTTCTCAAACTTCATACAGCTTAGCTTGTATTTATACTGAAGCATATTTAAGTTCACTTTATATCCTTCACACAGTCAACCGTATATGTAAGTCCTTTCTCTTATACTTTCAATCACTATGTATTACCGGCTTTGACAACTGATTAATATCGAACCCCAGTTAGTGGTTAGTCCAGTGCTTTAGTTATCAACAAAATTTAATCACCCACGTAGCTTTAATTAATGATGCATAGACTTACCAATTTTCCTTTTTCCATCGTTAAAATAGTAGCCAACTTTTGATGGTGTTTCTTCCTGAAATGTTTATAAGAAATAAAAAGTCACGAAATGATTAACATCACACAGCTGTATTTTCCTTGTATATAAAAAGCGATTTATATTTATAATTATATGAATTATATACTGGTGTATAAATTTGCTATTTTACTCAGTGAAAGCCGAAAAAACTGATTCAAACAAAAAAGGTAGGGGCGACGTACCTTAAAATGGTGACCAATGATTATTATTGAACTTTTCAACAGTTAGTTTGTAGGGATTTGATTTCTTTCAAGTTTGATAACAAGTTTGAGAATCATTTGGGAACCAGGGAGTACTGCTGAGCTGTATTATCCTAGTTTGGGACTCTTCAACAGTACGCATCCCCTACAATCTGAACCCAGCACCTTCCAGTTACATAGCAAGCTCGTATACCATCCAGCCACTGGGACCCAGTCTATTTGCCCCTGAATTCCAAACCTCTACCAAGTCGTGATTTTAGTGAGACCAACAGCTAGTGTTCGTCCTCACGCCCAACTTGATAGACTCCACTTGTCCCGACTTCTCAACAGAGCTCAATAGAGCCACTCACTAACAAGCAACAGTTGTTAATAATGAAGTGTACTGATACAAAAGTTAGTGAAATTGGAAAAAATCTGCTAGTATAATGAGTTTATTGTATTTTTTATTATTCCCTTAATCTATTTAGTTACATATATTGTTCACAATCCATCTTATAAATGATGGTCGTTTCTAAAATTATAACCTTATTCAACTATCACCAAGTAGAACAATCAAGAGGAAACTGATTTTCATTAAAAAAAACACGATCAAAAGCCTTCACCAACGAATTAATTTGCAATTCTGATCCAGTCTAAAGTCTTGAAATATTTGAAAGTGGTTTTATTTAAAAAATATTATTACATATTGAGTCTCAGTTAGAACCCACTCAGAAAAAATTTATATGAGTCAAGCTAAGAGCCAAACTTAGTTTGTAAGGCCACTATTCACTCGCAAAGAGCAGGTGTGGGACCCACTGGCGGGAAATTCAAGTTTTTAAGTGAATAAGCAACGCCTATAGTCAACCACCCTTTAAGTGAGAGTCTCAGAAAAATACGATTTGTTAAAATTACTTATACATCAGAGCCAAATACAGTAAGGTGTAATTACTGTAATTACTGTTGAATCTATTACTAAAATTAATTGACACTGATGCTTTGAATCATACCACAGTAAAGGCATTGAATCTGATAGTTTCCGCAGTTTGTTTATAGATATTGATTTTAGGCATTTGTAAATGAAATGGTCACTAAGATGTTTATAAATGAAAAAACGATTACTATTTTTGTTGACATATCACAGAAAAGAAGATTCGGAGATTTACTATCCTTTCTAATAAGCATGAAAAGTTAAAGAATACAATTCTGAGGAAAGGTTGATCCAATTAATTATAAGTAAGTTTCCTTTAAGTGGATTTTTATTAGTTAGTCAGTCATAGTGATAATTTTAATGGGACATCTAGCCAACCAACTGCTTACAAGGCTAAAACTTGTTCATGAAAATATCATGGAAGCTAAAAACTGAAGATTACCAGTCAGTATTCATCACAAATTTACTTCTTTAAAAGAAACATGAATAGTGAATCAGAAAGAAAAGTGGAAAACATCTAACATTTTAGGAATGTAGGGTAGAAAATTTCGCTTTAAAAGGAGTTAAATTTCTAGGTTCAAAAACATAAAGACATTGGAAAATCACTGTACTTCAGGACTTTACCTCTTATTAGTAAAATTCGTTGTTCATAGATTTACTCCTTGAACTTTCAGATTTGTAAGGGTCTACTTAATTTCAACATGTTTCTTATCATAGTCTGATATTATTTTGGAATAAATATTGAGAATCAAGCAGTAACAATCGGCTATCTTTTTTTAATTTAAAACTTTTGAGTACTGAATATTCGAGAAACCTTGGGCAGCTAAAAAATCATCGAATTGTAAGACAAACGATGTAGAGTTCTAATTCAATCATCTATCATTTCCGAATAAGTCATCCCTATTCACTAACTACCTACAGTGACAATGAACTAAGTGGAACCTATCGATGAAAACTGCCAATAATAAGTGGAGGGTTGATCACAAATAAGTAATGGCTTAATATTTGGATGGGGAGTCTATAAGTGAGTACCGCTAAGTCAGTTCAAAAGACAGGTGCTACTCAAGGGCAGTGGATGGTGATGACGCTATATAGTCTACAGCCTGACAGCTGAAAGGTGCTGTGACCATTTTGGTGTACCATCACAAAGGAAGACGAAAGAGCTGTCTTATCCCCAATGGTTTTCGATTTCCCTCAAACCCGTGTCTTTTCCTGACGATATTAAATCTGATTTCATTTATCACGTCTAGACAAGATGAATTTACTTAAAAAATAGTAATGTCTACGAAAACTTAAATATTAATCCCTTTCTATGAAGCAACTTAATCAAATGAAAGCTTAACAACATTATCAAGTTTATACTCTGGAGCGTTTTTAACATGGTATTAATCCTTATGCAAATCCATCTAATAAGTGTACGTTTACAACTCTTTCAAGGACAAACAAAAGTGTTCTATGAAGTTAATTATAATACCAAAAAAATATGTTGTTTAAACAACTATGAAGTTTTGTCGTTAGTGGCTGATGAATTTAAAATACTTTAATATCAGAAAAATGTAAAACAAGCTTACCTCTGTCATTTAAATTATATTACAAGTAGTTTTCCGTGCTAAACATTTTGACCTCATCAGCTTTCAGTTTCTACAGTTATTTAGATTCTTGATGGCCGGTTTCAACATTGGAACTTAGGTATTTTAAATTGTCCTCTATACCCCGACAACAGGTATACCTCACATTATATGAAGGATTTGGGTGTGTCTACTAACGAATTCAATTTAAAAGCTATAAAGTAAAAAGAATGCTTAAGAATATTCCACATAACGGATTATTTTGGGTTATTTGAACACTGTACGTTTCATCCCTATATATCGATTATTGAGAAATTATTTTGAAAACCATTTCACTCAAAATTATTATTCAAAATGAAAGTTATTCAAGTGTGTCTTATGAACTACATTCCTAGGAAATGTGCTCTATGATATTAGTTGAATTCGTCTTAATAACTGACGTACATATTTTACCCTCTTCTTCTCTCTCTCAAATTGACTTGACTTTTCATAAGTTCTACTAGTGTGTCTTCACATGCTACAAAAGGATATTTTAATGTGCCTATCCACTAATTAACCTCCGCCAGCTCTGTTCATTTTCACTTAGACTTACCCTTGTAGTATTGATAACTGTTCGTCTCTATAAAATTCCCTCGTTATTTTGAAATAAAACCATACTCATCACATCACTGACACAGTTGTGTTGTCGCTCACATAATTATGCAATGCGCTTGTTTTATTTCTCCATTTTTCAGTCAATTTCCAGAACCAAAAACACTTTCAATTCATTGCTTTTATATAGGAGGATCAAGGTATTTCCTTCTATGGTGTTTTCTCAACAGTAACAGTATACAAAATGTCTTAATATTAAGTAATTTAAGGGGTATAAGCATAAAAACGAATTAGCTGAGAAGTGTTGGCGAATCCATCTTGTGAGCTATAGAAAACTGGAGATCTGTCTTTATTTAACTTAATAGTTTAGAGTTAAGACTTTAATGGTAGTGAAATTGTTGGGCTGAATTTTTTAAATCAAGAAAACCATAGGACAGTATAAGTACTTCAAATAAAGTGGAATCCAAATTGTCCCAGTAGAGAGATTAGGATAATAAAACAAATGCGGTATTGGTAACAGGATTTTCATCATGAGCTGGCATTAGTTAGAGAACCACTGGAAAACCTGGGAGTACTGGACGGCTGTTTCGTCCTAGTTTGGGACTCTTCATCAGTACGCACCCACCGGGATTCGAACCCAGGACCTTCTGGTTACAAGGCGAGCTCGTATACCATTAGGCCAATGGCTCCCAATCCAATGGCCAGTGCATGAATTCTAACTTCTGCCAATTTACGAAATAGCGTGGCCCCTAGCCAATGTCTTCGGCAAGTATTTGTCCTCACACCCGACCTGCTGCACCCTACTGGTCACGACTTCTCACTAGAACCCCAGGTAACTACCTACCTGAATAGGGCCAGTCATCTCATTGATATTCAAGTGTTGGTTTCATGATGAAAATCCTGTAACCAATCAAATCCCTACAAAACAACACTTAAAATATGGTATTCCTTTGATAATCTCCCTACACTAACCAATAATGTTAGTATAATTGTGATAAAAACCTTTTTTATTCCGTAAATAGACTAAAATTAAGTAACATGTAGCTAGGCTATTGAAATACATTATAATAAATGTGTCTAAATACTAGTTCCTACCTAATCCCGTGTATTTTAAATGATTTAGCAACACGCCGTTTAAAGTCAGTCCATAAATCCATGATTCTCTTCAAATTCACATATTAATCCTAAATCTAATAATCCGAATGTCTGTTTTCGTCATTCTCTCACCCCTTAACAGAGTTGCTTCCCACAGAAAAGCTCAGATCTAGTTACAGTATATGAGCTGAGATTTTAGAAATCTTGGCTTACTAATACCCTGATAAAGCTATTAGGATTAAATGGTGAAAAATCTGTAGAAAACAATTTTGTTTTGTTTTTCATTGACCAAAAAACTGCGAATTTCTTAACAATAATGGATAACATTTGCCTGTTGTCAAGTGGTTTGTCAAATCAGTAGACCCTTAATTTATATAAACACCTACTTATATCCTTGTACGTTATTTTGAAAACTGTACTACTTAGTATGCTTTCACAATGTTCTCGTGTTTATTAAATCACACTATTTTTATATTTGTAGAAAGGTGACATTTATTCAGCTAACAGTTGATTCAGTGTATGGATTGCACAACCAGACGGAACCTTTTTCCATATTGCACAGTTTAGCATGATGTCTGGAAGTAGTTCAGGTATGAGTAATTTTTTAAAGTCTTTTCATGTGTTATAAAATCTAAA